ATAAATGAAAATAAAATATCTTTTTTTTCAGTTTAAAAAAGAATTGTTATCCTTAAAGGGTTTTAAAATTTTCAGTAAAAACTATGATTTTGATTGCCAGTTTTTGACTATATAACAATCATCTCAAGCAAAAGTGTTCCGCATTTTTTCGAAAATTGGAACAAAACTATCAGAGCAAAACTTTGAGTTTTCTAACTGCACTTTGAGACCAATTAAAACAACCTCATTGAAAGTTTTATGAAATAATTGAAAAATATTTTTTTTTTCATTTCACTCACCAAAACTGAATGAAAAAGCGTAATGTTTAAACGATTTATACCGCGCATTAGTTTTTCCAAATTGGTTAAACTAGCCCTTTTGCAAACTCCCTCTGTTTTTCTAAAAAATGATCAGAAGCTTTTTATTTTTACTTGAGCTCATGAGAAACATTTTTTCGGATTGTAAGAAAAAATGATAAAAACGCTTCATCAGATAGTCGAAAGCTGGCTGCATGAAAAAACCACCCAAAAACCAACCAAATTGCTTGAAGAAACCACCCCTCTATCTCTTGAAAAACTTGAATTTAGAACAAAATTTATGTATAACAATTTTCAGTACAAAAAACCGTTCGGCATATTGCATACTAGTTACACAGAGGCCAAGTTGAGCTGAAAATGAATGAGTCTCATTACCAGCAAATGAAATGACAAATCAAAAAATGGAAAAAAGCTGAATTTCCGGGATTTGTCGTCTCAAGCATGGCTGATACCACTGCATCAAGTGCACAGTACATTCCTTGAACTTATAACAACACCAATTTCAATTGTTTATTTTTTCGAACAGAATAAAAAATATATCAAAAAAGTAGGCAAAGCTTTTTGTAACAAAAGAAAATTAATGACCGATTCGGCTGAAAACACCATCAATTCACTACTCTGCATTAGTAACTTGATAATACATTACCGGAAAAAAGCCGAAGTGTAAAAGCAGTTACCTTTTAATGTGAAATATTGCAAATCAAATGCTTTTTGGACAACTTTGTTGAACTACGTCGCAGATCAGATTTATTTTAAGGATCGGATAATTTAAAATTAATTTTTCTGCAAATGCAAAACATTTTCAACGCTTTTTATCTGGAAATCCATTTGTAACTTTTTAAAAACCTCATTTCTTTTAAATTTTCCTGTTTCTTTTCTGATTTTTTAGTGATTTAAATCAAATTTGTGCAAGATAACCCATTGAATATTCTTAAAAAGTAGGCAAAAAATTTTCCTTTTTCGTTGCGACTCTTGAAAACTGGGCGGAACTTTATTATCGGGTATGTTCTAGCTTTTTTGCTTTTCGTTTTTTAAGCAAAATCAGGTACCACAAATAATAATTTGACTGGGCTGAAAAAAATAAATCATATTGAAGCCCATTCAGCCGTGATTCGAACCACATTAAAAAAATTCCCTAATTAGTTAGAATTTTTTGTTTTTGCGTCCTAATTCGAGCTAATGAAGCAAGCGAGAAGGCTTACAACAGCAGAAATATGCCTAATTTGAGACCCTAGAACTTAATTTTAGGCAAGTAAAACTGGTTTTTGGAGTTTTTTAGCTTCGTTTTGGGTATCAAACAATTAAAAAATCCAAATTTTTCTGCAAAAAATTGAAAAAAAAAAGTTTTTCGAAACTTTTTTTTAGTTTTTCAGTCAATTATCTGCAAAATTTGTCCAATCTGTATATAATAGAATTACTTTCTAAGTTGCCCTAATTATTCATGTGTCAAATATTTTTATCACAGCAAGCAGAAAAAAACTACTCTAATTTAAAAAAAAAAAACTTTCTAAACAGCAATTTTCTAAAAACAATGGTCGGAACATTCTCTGCTACTTGCAAAGGAACCAGCTATCCCTAATTCTTTGTGTAAAGAGGCAAAAAAGAGTAAGATTAATCAAAATAAATGTCAAGAAAGCAAAACTGATTTCGGCAGAGCTTTTTTTGCATTTCTTGTTCCATGGTAATTTTTTTTATTCATGATCATAAGTGAGTAAAAACTCAAGTTTTCCTATTTTGTTTCTCGTTATTTTATATTGAAGGGGAATAGGTTTTTTGAAACTTCTTGAAGATGTTAAATTGGAGAATTAACAAGCAGTTAAAAATTCTGATCATAGTATAAACGATGCCTTCGGTTGTTCATATGATAACAATTCTAAATGATCAAACATTTTATTGAATCCTTTTGATAACCTAATTTTCAGAAATTGACAAGCAAAAGATATCTTATCATTTAAGAAACAAAGTATTCAATTGTTCATATGCAATCTCTTTGTGTAAACAGAATATTTGAAAGCCATTTGTGTCACAAACAAACAATAGAAAACGGTAAAATTCATCTCAATTAAAGTTAGAAAAAAGCAATCTGAAAAGCAAGCTTAGAATTAGCCTTGAAAAACTCTGCTATTCGCCGGAATTGGAAACTACTAAAAAAAACCAGAGCTGCACATCGTCTCATTTGCACCATAGCTTCTTAATTTACCGCCAAACACTAGTCAACCATAAGTTCGATAGAACAGATGCCGTTGAAATACCAATGCTGTGCAACAAAATTGTAAACAAATGAGCACTTTCGCGCTGAAATAGACACAGGAAACGCGCTGAAAAAGACACATGGCTGAACAAGACTGCTCGTATCAGGGCGAAGACCTGAATGCTCCTACTACCTTCTCGAGGTGTTCCAAGATGGAGCAGTAATAACATGAAAAAAAATACAATAAAATAAAAACAAATTTTTTTAAATTTGAGACTTCTCGTGAAAATTGTCACTCCACACGCCATATAAAGTACAAAGTGAGAGAATTTGCTACTAGTAGAAAATCATTTAGGGCAAATAAGCTTCCTTCAACAAGTTTGGAATGATTTCTAAGACAGAGTAAAGTTCCTCTTACGCGTTATTAGCGCGAGATATATCGCGGGTTATTTGTCCCAAATTGGCCCAAATGGCAGTCTTTGAACCCCCGTAATTTACGAAAAAAGATCACAGGTGAAGTATCTTGCGAAGTTAAGCTCACAACATCAATACCCGGGTTGACCAAAACTTCTTAT